GCAAAAAAACCCTACTAGAAAGCTCAAAAGTTTTGCAAATGACCCAGAGTTAATTAGAAAAGTCTGCACCCTGGCTAGTTCCCCTTCTCACGTGTCAGCTCTCATTAAATCAAAAAATTCTCATTTCAAAGTTAACAAACACCATGGTTAACAAAACTGTTAAACTGGGATCAAGTGGGCACATTCCTAGGTTTATATATGATGTCATGCTAAGCAGCCCACAGCTGAACTTGCAAGTAGTATGAATGATTTTTCAATATATTAAGTATCTGATCTAATGCTAATTTTCTCTCTATAGGCTAACTGTGCTGGGAACAGGTGGCCCTGCTTTCAATTACGGAGGGCTAACATGCCAGTGTGAGGCCTGGATTAGTTCACCTTCTCACAGGGAATTTGCCTCGGTTGGGAATGGATTTATTATGGCTTCACACATGGAACGGAGCTCATGTCAGCTGAGGGCAGTGATACATCATATGATTCAAATTAACCTGCTGTGGACTGTTCCGCAGGGCTGATATTGTGTATTAAAATGACGACATTTTTAAAACAGCTTGAAAGAAACCAGGATTGCTGAAGTGCAATGGTTCCAATTTGTTCCAACTAATCTATCACCTGCTGGAGATATTATTCTAGTGGGTTTCTGGTAGCTGCTATTTTCCAGGTTTCTCCAAACCACTGACCTTGCTAATGGATACAATTGTTGCCTTTGCAAACAGGGGGAAAAAAGCTGGAGAGAGTGCCATGGCGCAGTTTAGTGCGTTGCTTTTTATGCGCAACCCTAGATGCAGGGCTGTGCCCCTCGTGGTGCTGAACCATGCCAGGGAGGGACCGGCAGGAAAGAGCCCCCCCACCAGGTCCCCCAGTTCTCACACTGTCTTTCAGTGGGACACGGTGTCTCGTAGTTTGCCTGGATAGATCCTTCTGTTGAAATTACTGTGAAAGGTGAAGTATCAAGGACTGCCGTTATTTCACACCTAGCCTAACATCTTCCCAAGAAACTGCTGGGGGAAGAGGACTTTGGCATAAACAACCTATATTTTGCATGTATAAGTATTTTAAGGCAATTTATAAGAAGTTGTACTTCATAAAAATGTTTTGTATCATTTGCATGCAGAAAGAATACATCAAAAAGACAGCTTTTATAGCTAAGAAAGCAGTGTTGATAAAAAAACAACAAAGAAAGAACTAGACAGTAAAGATAATAAATTTTCAAAAACTATTAAAACAAGATGGTCATATTTGCTCCTCACCTAATGAATAATATCTAATGCTGAAGCAATAAATAGTTCACTTATATGTATTAGACAAGAATTAGATGTACAATCCAGTAAGACTGAATATAAAAGAGACGGTCATGTAAACTGATGTAGGTGGAATTCAAAAAATTTAAAATAATTAGTTACTGTAGAAAGAGAAAGAATAGTGCTTTAATACATTGTGGGGTTAAAGTTGAGGTCTGTTCCCACAGGCCTGATGATGAATGCTTATTTCTCCTAGGATCCTATTACCTTGAATCTGGAAGAAATATCATTTTTCTTTAGTTGCCAAAAATGTACAAAATAATCAACTCATGTGGCAAGAAGTGCATTAATGTATCCTGTTATTCTCATTTAATTAGTGGTTTCCAAGTTTAGCTACTTGCTGTAGTTTTTTGATCTCCGAGCTAATATGGACTGACAACCTGGTTTCCTGTGTGGTAAAACCATACGATTTTTCTATGGAACACTATCTACTTATCTACTTCAGCTGACAAACTATTTACAAGGAGTACTGGTTTTATCTAACACAGCAAACACTGGGAACCGCTTGCAGATTTTTTCTTTTAATGCTTGCATAGTAGTTTGCATAATAAAACATAAGCATGCTTGATTGTTATATATTTGAAATTTAACCTCAGCACACCAACAATGTATTTTGTAAGAAAAATTACATTACAATTAAATCACTGAACTATGAACACTTAAAATCTATACAGAAAACTGAATAGTTATCACAGCTGCTACATCCAGATTTTTGTCTGCATAGGCACAGCTTTTAAAAATGTGCTGACTTTTCAGAAAAGCAGATCAGCTGCACCCAACAGGTAGTACCTACTAGTGCATCCAATGGATTTTAGTAACTTACTTACCGCAGTTATAAAACACATATACATAAATGAATATGGAAACTCACAGCATGTCCTTAGAAAATATGCCAGTTAGTAGCAGCATTATTTGCCAAATGTTCACTAAAAAAGAGTAGGCCTTTCGAGGCCTACAACGTGAGCATCCTCCAGCAGTGCATTTATTTATTCAATTTATTAACTGTGATGTCTCCCATCACAAATATCATTTGTCTGGTGACCTTACATGAGCCCTCGGGAGTTTTGCTGAGGTTCTTGTCCTCAATAAACAACTGCCAGCTTAGTGAGGATCCGGTGATGTGGACACTTTCTCCAGGCCCGCTGATGGCCAAGCTACCTCACCCTGGAAGAAGTTGTGGTTAGCGGACTTTCCCCCCAGGACAGTTAGTAACTTATTTTCCAGTAGCCTGCTGAGGAGCTGTCAAGCTTTCATAACTCTTTGCATGTGCTGTTCTGACGCAATCGCATGCGGAAAGCGCCTTCCATTACTCATCCAACGAAACCTCCAGCCCCCAAGGAAGGCTTCTTGGTAAAGGTTAGTTTATTTGAAGAGGATCTCATAGTGGTAACAGCTGAGGTCAGAAAAATCTGCAAAGGAATGCAGAGCTGTTTTGCTATGTTATACCGGCAAAACACTTCATTAAAATTCAGAGTTATTACTGTTGAGTCACGTGTAATGATAATTCCAATTAGCAGCAAAAAGATGATTAAAAAATTGTCTTTTGTCTAAGAAGAGATCCTGGAGGAAATCTCTGAAGTTTTATAGGCTTTACGAGAATAAACAGACTGAAGTTTATGATGCATTAATTTATGGCTTTTCAGTTCCCTATTTAGCCAAATGCCATGGAGGGGAGAGATGTAACATTGATTCAGGATCTGACTGAATTGTTGAGAATGGGGTAGACGGAATACTTGTGAATATAGACTTTGAAAGCTGGTACCAACCTCCACGTTTGCTAGTTTTAGTCAGAAGTTTGTCCTACTGACAGGAGAGTGTCAGGGAAACACCTTCAGGTGTGTAATAAAATAAACATTGTGCCAGGAAACTACAGTGAGAACCTTGAGAAAAGGGGAATGCACAGACGAAGGGTCTAGGAATACGGGAATCTGCCAGATGTGGGGAGGGATGACACCAAAAAACTGGAAAGAATAAAAACGAAAAAAAAAAAAAAGGATAAAAGAAAACCAATCTGGCAGCAGTGACCAGAAGATCTTAGTCTTGAGAGAGAATACATTTTCCTTTTGGCTTTCGAATAGAACTCAAAAATCCCGACTTTTGATATTCCTCTGCTTTCATCAGCTATCTATAAACACCACTGATATTAGGTGTCTCTACCTCTCTGGTGCTGGTCATGATTAGAATGAAAATCTACTATTATTATCAATTAATCCTTTAGTTCAAACGGCAATGGAACATGCAGTAGGTCCGAAGGTTCAAAGTCCTATTAATGAAGCCAAATAGGGATCAATATAACAAAAGCTCAGCATTCTCAGGTAGTTTTAAAATCTTCTCTTAAAATAATGCTTTTAAGGAAGCACAGAAAACAAAAAAAGGGGCAATGCTGAGGTTTTTAACATGCTTTACTCTTCCCCCGAGATTCCTGCCTGCCTGTATGCAAAAAAATGGACTTTCAAGTTACTTAACCACAGCATTTAGAGTCAGTGGGTAAATACGTATGTCTCATGCTCTGGTTGATCAATTTGAAACTGTGGGGTCTGATATGCAGAAGCGATTACTGCTTCACCCAAAGACAATATGAACGGTATTTCCAACATCTAAATTTATATATTTTTAAGTACCTTGGAAAACTAAATTGTGTGTTTTAAATTGGTAACCCTAATATAACAAGAAAATCTTTATCTTCCCTGTGCCTCAGTTGCCTTCCAGGAAAAGGCAAGGGCATACTATTCCATCACACATGGGAGGGCTGTGCAAGTAAATTGGTATTTCTGAGGTGCAGTAAGCAACACAGAGGAAATAAGTGATTCTACTGTAGAGCCAGGTTTAGATAGTGTGCTGTAAGACTGTATGAATAGACAACCGAATGAATAGGAAAACCCAGTACTGAAGAGTTGCTCACTAAATGACGTAACAGCTCATTCGGTGTGCTGAGTGAAGTAAAGATATTCAGGGGAAAAAAAAGTTACACAATTCAACAAATTATAACAAATATGCATAAGAGAGATGAATTATGATGGCACAAGTAAATGTAAATGTATTTTCTAACTTCTAATATAACCTCATTTATATTCTACATAGGAACATAGTTATAAATACATAATTCACAAAATAGAGAATGGATGACATACTTCAATTTGCAGAAGTTTCTGACACTCTAGGAGTGAAACTTCAAGTCACACTATTTTAAGTAAATGCTTACAAACTTTCATGCTACACCACTTATACTCTGTGTTAACTAAAGGAACACAATATCACTATTTTTTAAATTTTACAGTATTGACACTATAGGTTATAGGAATTTGCAGTGTCAGATATCCAGATTCCAAAGAACCCAAGAAAAGGCGGCTTATAAAAATCTTCGGAAACATTTCAAAAGTCAACTTTTACAAACATAACTGTAATAAAATTTCAGTTGTTCCAGGACTAGACGCAGGTAGGTTTCATTCTGTTGGAAATCTGCCTTCTTGAGGAGTAAAATTTCTAAGTTTACCTTGGGAAGAAAATAAATAATTAGACCTTAAACCTAGGACTGGTTCAGGACTAAACATTCCTCAACTTTCATTTCAGTTCAGAGTAATTGCTGGAGGAAATTTCCCCATTCATGAGCAAGGAATACAACATTTTTGTGATGATCTAATGTGTGCATATCTACCAATAGATTACATTAGAAAATAGAGATTTAAGTGCAATGTTTACCTGGTCCATTAAGGAAGTCTTTAATTTGCACAGTGATAAGAGGAGGCGGAATACCACTTTTAGCATCTACCTCTCCTGCTACGGTCTGCAACCAAATCTTGCAATAATCCAGAGCTTCTGGTAGAGTCTTCCCAGGATCTACAGGTGATAATGATCATAATCATTAATACTAATAATGATATTCCAGGAATATGATACATAATAAAATGCTATGTACAAAATTGATTAATCAACTCATGTGAGCATTAAATATAACTGACTAAATAAAAAAGTTTTAAATGTAACACAGTAAATAATATTTCTAATACTACTTTTATACATAGCATTTGTGTCTACAGACAGATGCATGTGTATAACAATGCATACATACACAGGCAAGAGGGCAAAGATGTAATTACACAAAATGTAGAAAACCCACAAAAATGCCAAGTAGAATATGAGTGAGACATCAGTTACTACAAGATGACTTTAAATAGCACACGATTTTAGCTTTAATTATGACAACACTTAAGGAGTCCTTAGAAGAGAATCTGTGCTCAAAACCTGCTACTTAGAGACTGTATATTCATTGCCAGGCAGAGAAAATAATATGGAAAGATAAATGATGAAGGCTAAAAGACCAGAATGCTAACAGATCTCGGGAATAAAGAGCATAATGACAATGCAGATTGTCATTCTCTTTGGAGTTTCGCTCAATAGCTAATTAGTAGCTATTCTTGCATACCACCTTGAATTGTATTCCTTTGATCCGTATATAGTACTACAATAGTACATCAAAATTAATTTCCTCCTTGTCTTCATTTTCCACATATCACGAATGGCAAATCCAGTAGTGTAAAAAGGTTTCTTAATCTTTAGCAACTCATGACCTTCATTATAATAGTCCTCAATTCTGGCACTACAGGTCTTAAATTCTAAATAATCAATTATTCTTTATTATCAAGACTGCTATGTTAATTACTGAATGTCTGCTCATTGTTAACAATCTAAGGAGATTTTCTTGATGTTATTCTCTCCCATTTTCAGTTAATTAAAAACTGCTATAATTGCTTTACTTGAGTTTTACTGAACGGATTCCTTTCAAGAACAGTATTTACATACCCACTATTATAGTCAACATATGGTATTGTGGTATCACAGTCATATGTGGACTGGGTATATAAAGTCAGCTTTGGAATTTGTATTTCTTGACCTTATCATGTGATTCATATAAAACTTGGCACATATGAACCCTTATGTGATTTCAAAGAACCTACTGAAACCAATTGATCATGACTTTAGATCTATATGGAAAAGATCAAAAGTTAGCACATTCTTCTGTTTTTATTTGATCAATTTTCAGGCAATGACTTTACAGCAGTATTTGTACTGCATGGCATATACATTACAGCCTTTCCTTCCCTTTATTCCTGTTATACATTTATAAAGTCAGCTCTCAACAGTTATTTAAGAGCTGTCACTGCATACAACAGATTTGTATATTTTCCATGTGAATTTCTACATTTTTATGGTTCTTAGCCCTTTCCTTTAATTACACTAACCAGAATGGTGTGGCACACTCCCTGTTCTATAGTAACTGCTTTAGGGAATATCTTGTTTCCTGTGTCTGGATTTTGCCTGGTATACTGAAAATCATCATAATAAAAAATCTTTATCCCCGAAGTACACATTTTTTCCAAAATATAGTTTTGTAGTCATTCTGAGCAAGGATGTTATCTCTGGCTTGCATCTATACTGTAATACTTGTTTTGTGCTAGTAGCGCATCATAAGTAAGTAATATGCTAATGCTTTTCAGAATATATAGTGTAAAACATTCTAAAAACTACTGAATATTGTGCAATGAACATCAAATCAATTAAACTGATCTCTAAGTTATTGTTCCTTCAGAAGTATTAGTATAAACATCTAGGTGTACCAATATGGGGCAAAATGTTGCAATATGCCATTATTTTGTCTCAGTCTGGACGATAATTGCCACATGCTGTGTACAGCAACCTAGATCATCCACAGGCTTTTCAGAAAATCCAGTAAATTTAGTCAACCATTTCTTTTGCAGAATACATTTCCAGGTATTCCTATTATCCTAAGATGTGTTTATGTTATAAAATACCTAATAATTATCTTAAAGTTGTAGCTGTTTAAAGATGAAAATATCTCTGATGAAAAGAACTTACATAGCAGAAAATCCTGGCGTGACATAATACATTAGCTATACAAACACTGCCCTTAGGGCAATGGGAATTGCAGCACGTAAGCACAGAATCAAAAAAATAAAGTAACCATGGGGCTCTTGGGAGATTATTTCGCTCTATCATGTCTACAAGGAGCGCAGCACCATCTCCTCTTCATTACCTGGGGCACTGCAGGACTGGGATACATGAATTCTGGAGAAGGACTCCAGAATTTACAGATTAGGAACACAACACAAACAAACCTCAATGCACAAAATTAGCGCAACTCCGACAAAATATACTATGTTTAACCTAGCACTGGCCTTACTGATTTCAAGCATTTGGGGTTTTTTTAGTTAGAGAACCATAGAATAGTTTGGGTTGAAAGGGACGTTTATAGGTCATCTAGTCTAACCCCCCTGCAATGAGCAGGGACATCTTCAGCTAGATCAGGTTGCTCAGAGCCCCGTCCAACCTGACCTTGAATGTTTCCAGGGATGGGGCACCTACCACCTCTCTGGGCAACCTGTGCCAGTGTTTTACCGCCCTCATTGGAAAAAATTTCTTCCTTCTACCTAGCCTAAATCTACCCTCTTTTAGTTTAAAACCACTACCCCTTGTCTTATCGCAACAGGCCCCGCTAAAAAGTTTGTCCCTATCTTTCCTGTAGGCCCCCTTTAAGTACTGAAAGCCCGCAACCAGGTCTCCCTGGAGCCTTCTCTTCTCCAGGCTGAACAACCCCAACTCTCTCTGCCTGTCCTCACAGGAGAGGTGCTCCATCCCTCTGATCATTTTTGTGGCTCTCCTCTGGACCCACTCCAACAGGTTCAAGTGAAATTGTGTTGTTCTGAAACTGAGCTAATTCTGAAAGCAGGTCATTTGCGTTGACACAATTTTGCATTGGAGGTAATAATCCCAAAGGGCCATGCAGAGAACTAGTTTGAGTTCTACTCCAAGCCCGCAGCATACAGTTAATTTGGAACCTGTGTTACAGACTTGACCATATATCCAAATACACCAGATATAGATCAATAATTAAGTGTTTACATAATGAGAAGAAAGCTAAAATACAGAGGTTTCAAAACTGGCTATGCTGGTGTATATCTAAAAAACCTGAAAGAACATCCAAATGGGAGCTATAAAATGTATCTCTGTAGGACAAATTCATTTACATCAAAGGTTGAAAGATTGAAATGTATGTGTCTTGATTAAAATACCTTCTAAGGCAGAAAACATCATACGCATTTTCACAGGATTAAGGATCAGGAAAGGAATAAAACAGTATCAATCAATAAATCCCTACGCCAAGGGCATAGAAATGGCCAGAGAAGCAATTGAAAGAAAAAGAGAAAATTCAGGCTGAAAAGTGAGGAATTCCTGATGGAGAGAGCTGTTAGAAAAAGGACTCTTCTCCCTCAAGGAAATGATGGAAACATTCAGAATGTTTAAAAAATGCACTTGACAGAACACTATAAAATATACAATAGGGAACAATTATGCATCAGCAGGGAACCGGTCTGAATAATCTATTATAATAGGTCATTTCCATTTCCATTTTCTATGATTCTCCCAAAAATCAACACTTAAATTTACAGTTATTTGTATAAAGAAAATGCTGGAGAAAACCCAAGGGACGCATATATAAGTAAAAGGAGAGGCTAGAATTACTCCGCAGCAAGCCAAGAGAGAGAAAAAAGAAAGGCTTGAGAAGGGAAGAGCAGTGAAGACGGCCAGAAATTCTATCCTCTACACCATGTGAAAAATTTGTCTGTGGCAGCAAAAGAAAAATCGTGAGACAACTATCCCAGATTGACAATCAAGACTGTAATTTAAAATCTGTAAGACTGAGAAGCTGTGAGGCCTTCAGTAAGTCTACATTTATCCTCCCCTTCTTATCAGGAAAGAAATAATCTCTGGCAATTTTTGAATTCACCCAAACATCCAAAGTCTTGCTAATGTCCAGACCTCAGTTCCAAACTTCACAGTTTATGACATACCTTCCTAAACTTGCTTTGAATTTATAAGCTTTTCATTTCACCTGCTACCTGCTCCTCCCCCCACCCCCAGCCCCCCCATGTTTAACAGCAGACAGCAACCTCCAAACTTCCAAAGAGAAAGGGGAACGAGGGGAAAGGAAAAGAGGGAGGCAGGAGAAATTTCACATCTTGAAGATTTTCATTCTTCAAAATGTGGTTTTGTTGACGTTTGTAGCTGAGAGCCAGGGCAGCTCAGGGGGCATAGCCTGTGGGAAGCTTTAACGGGGGGGCTCAGGGACCCACAGCACCCTGGCAGCCGCTGGGCAGGGGACAGGGCTACCGAGCGTGTGCGCGGGACGGCAACTTGGCCTGTTCCGCTGGAATTTTACCCAGACCAAATGAGCTCTGCAACACGCTTTTATTTCAATGGATGAATCATATTTTGGTCTGCAGTCAATTTTAAGAGCCAGTACGATGCTGCAATCATCTCTGCATTTCAAACTCCGAAGTGGAACGTTTGGTCTTGTTTTAAAAATGGTTTCCATTGGAATTTAAAGAACACAAGTGGGAAAACATTTCTACTAGCGTACTCACAAATGCTGTGTCAGGCAGTTCAAAAATGAACACTTAGAGTACCCTGAGGAACGTACATTCCCAGGCCAGCTTGTCCTTACGGGTGGCGGCTGCACCCCCACACCCCGACCCTGTCCATGGATGCAGATGTACCAGACAATAAATATACTCAAAGGGGAACAGGTGACACTCTAGCAGAAGTCCCTTAATGCTATGCTAGGAAAGAGCCTTAAATCCTCTCTCTGTCTTGCAGGAAGCACAGGGTAATGGAGAGGCCGTGAATCAGACTTCCTGCCAGAGCCAGCCGGCATTGCCCTCTGTGCAGCCTCGGCTTTCTGTTAGATCAGAGGTTACATGTGGTCTCAGCTACTGCATCTGCTCATCATGGACCCCCCGCCATCAAAGGCGTGGGTGTAAAAAAAAAAAAAAAAAAAAAAAAAAAAACAGAAAAATTTCGGACAGCATCCCAA